GCCCCGCTTCCTTATTTATACTTTTAGGCCTATAGCCGTACCCCAAACCACTACTTAATATATTATAACTATCGTACCCTTAATAAATTAATCTATAGTACTTAATATTAAAGTCGGGAAATTATTTTAATAGTTAGTAATACGAATTTTAATAAGCGTTAAATATAAATTAGTTTCTCGGAGGTTTTATAGTATTTAAAATACTTAAGGGAGTACCGTGCCCGGCTTTAAGGATAGGGGTATTAACGTATAAAACTTTATATTTAATTTAAAAAGTACCCTCTTTAAATTATATAGTATAAGGCTAGTACCTATAAAGCTATTCTATATATTTTTTTCCGTTATAAAGGCGAAGAAAGCTTTACGGAAGGTATAAAGAAATTCGAGTTTACTTACGTAATTAATATATATATATATGAAGCCCTCGATTTAGCGGCCGTACGCCTATTTTAGCGGCCTAAAGTAATTAATATCGAGTAGTTGGAGGAGGTGGAAGGAGTATGGAAGTATATAGAGCGTAATAATATTATTTTATTAATAATAATATTTGAATTTAATTAAGTAATAACTTTCGTAATTATTAAGGATTAATAACCGGTATTTACTTTTCGTATAAGACGCTATATAATAATCGAAATATTTAATTTAATTTAAGCTTACCGGATTAATAATTTAATTATTATTAGTAATTACAATACGTTAAGTAAATAATAAATTATATTTAATATATTAATTAGTAAAGTAATATTATACGGTTAAAATAATAAAGGGCGAGATAGCTTAGCCGAGGGTATTAACTCCCTGGATTACTATTACCCACTCGCGGTTACTAAGCTAAACCAATTTTGCTTTATTAAGGCCGTCCGAGATTATAATTATTATACTTATAAAAATAATATTTATTATAAACCTAATCTCGTTAAAGTTATAAATATCGTTATTTATAATACCATACTTAGCTTTAGTATTCCGTACGAGCGTAAATTACTCGGTAATAACCTTCGGATCTTCGCACTTAGCTCTCTAGTAATTATATTTACACGTAAAACGTATACGGAGCTGTGGCTAGCGTTTAAAGAAGTTATATACCCAGAGCTTGCCAATAGGGGGCGCGTCGCGTACGCGTAGTAGTTGGTTGGCCATATCTTCTACACCACGTAACCTTGGTGGAAAAGCTCGCGTAGATAGCTCAATAATATAATAAACAATAACCTCCTCTTCGGATTGAGTAAGCTTCTTCGATCCGGGCGTAGTATCGCGCCGTGCAGGCCGGCCGGCGCGTCGGTTAGAGAGAGTCATAGGTGGTACGTTGTAAAGCTTAGCTATAGCTCGGAGGCTTAATTTTTCGTCCTTTTAGAGAGCCTCAAGGGCTAAGAGTATCCTGGCTTCCTTTGAAGTAGGAGGCATGTTGGGTTGTGGAAAAAATTGATGTTAGGTGTAAGGAGGACGCGTCGTGGTGGAGACTGTACGACTCGCTTATATGTACGACTCGCTTATAATATACGTTAAAGCCCTTAGAATTCACGGTAGGTTGAGTCGCTAAATATTGCGTTCAAACAGAGGCGACCCACGAGCTTCTGGTTTCACTTCGTGTGGAGATCGACAAAGTGACCTTCCAAGACGGGTTCATGAGTCTCGAGAGCTGGTTCTTAACAAACGACCACATTCTTTGCCACATTGACAGCGGAGGTGAAAACAAGGTTTATTCACCATGTTCCATGACTAGCCACACAATTCGCATGAACCATCTATCCACAACGTCCCGCGCCAGATTACGCCGATGCCTTTGACTCATATGTTGAGCCCTCACTTTCTGCGACCTTGTTGGATGTCTTCGCAGATGGAATGGCTCCCGGACGGGAGATGCAAGCCTTATCGGAACTTGACGTATGTATTTCCATTTCCACGTAAGGTGTGATATAACGTTGAGGCCTGTCTTTGCAAATGCCCCATCAGCAGATGGTCATAGTTGCCTCGTCGCGGTGTGCCTTTTATCTCGGGCTTCTCTTCAACTGGAACACTCACCTGATTCACTATGAACGATTGTCTAGAATGAAGGGCATCGGGCCTATCACGGGCAAGAACCTCATCCTCGAACTGATGTATGCACTGGCACATCGGGTTGAAGATCTTGCGTTCAGGTTGTTCTACCTCATCAACAAGACGCTTAGTCCCGAGGACACAGATCCGCGAGAAGCTTATAATCCCGCTATTGTTTTGTGCGCCTTGCGTATCGTGTATACATCTGTCGAGAAATTCAGGAAAACAACCAAAGACTGGGATCATGGAAGCCTGAAAGGGCTGGTCAGTACACAAATTCCCGCTTTACTATTCGAGAACGGGCGGATACAGAAACTAATTCCGTGATACATATGTTAAAAGAGCTTCATCGACACCCTTCGTTCACGTGCGCCCGCTGCAACTAGAGTCATCCAGCGGTACAGACACCAGAAGCTTGGCATCCTCTGTCAGGAATCTGCCTCCACGGCAGTCTTGGTTCAGCTCATCGAGGAGTGTGCCGTCAAGAAGTCAATTGCTAGCTTCGCCTTTGAAAGGTTTCAGCCGGATGGATTGTGGCCTCTTGGAGGCCCGGATACGGGGTGAGTCTGTTTTGATGGTAGCATCGGCTGCCTACGGTACCTAGAAGGAAAATGCTCATCTAATATTGGCAAACTCTAGGACCATTTATCATACATACACCCAAATGCTCGAGCTTTCTGTCAGTTGTAAGGATGCAGAAGACCTTAACTGCTGGGCCCATTACGGTACAGTGGTTGATTTGGAGCTGGATCTGGAGCTCGACAGATTCCGTTCAGATGAGAATAACAGCAGATTTGTATCACATTTGGACCTTGACCTCCAGGACTTTGATACAGCCCTTGGCGAAATGGTCGACGCGGATAGTCGTGGTCGAAAGAGAAAATTATCCGCACTTGACCCTGCCGAGGACACAGCCACAGCAGTCGATGAAGGGCCACCACCAAAGCGCTGGTTTGAGGGAGTGGAAAGAGTGGCTCGCAAAGTGGTGGGTACATTTGGATTTGTGGTTTAATAAATCGATTGTGGTCATGGAGTCACAGATTCACACACCAGGATAAAGGGTTCCCTTTCTCAGATATTTAAATGCGTGAATAACAACAACCAGAAAAGCTCAATCGTTCGCCAAGTCTTCCCACTGTTTTTATAACGCCTCAGTTCCAATCAGGACTGGCTCGGACGAGCAAGTAAAGACATCACTGTTGAAGCCCCTGTCACAAGTACCCTGCATGTAGCCAACACCAACCGTCTCCAGCGCGGCACTGCCATTGATGAGGTTAGCCCTTGAGCAAAAAATTCGTCTTTGTCTGGAAAACTTACGAATCCCCACAATCCCACTTTTGCTTGACAGTCAAAATGTTGAGTTTGGGGTCGAAAGTGAAAGTCGCGGCTGCCTTGGTGACATCCGACTTGCACTCCCCCTGAAAGGGACCAACCGGGGCAGATGTAGTGGCACAAGTAAACGTCACGCCATTCACGCCCAAGCTCTTGAGAGTGAAGCTTGGTCCAGTATCGGTTCCGGCCTTGGGTTCAAAGCTGCCAGGAGTGAGGACAAACTGTCTGTGCCACTTCTCCAGTGTCCATGACTGGTATTGCTCAGAGATCTCAGAGCAGGAGGCGGTGTTGGCGTCTGGGGCCTTGGGAGCAAGTACAGTGCTTATTCTGAGGTCAGGGCGAGCGCCTGAAGATGTCGCCTTGGGGATGCAATAGGCGCTGCCCTCTTCGGTGTAATCACAGTCAAGCACGGAAAGAGGGAGCGTTCCAGTCGCTAGGCCGTCGGTCCTGGTTTTAGACGAAAGCCGTCAGATCCAAGCACTGAGAGAAAACGAGAATCGAGAAAATGGACTAACCCCTCACGATCACTGCAGGCAAACACATGAGCCAGATACACTACCTTCTTATTCCAATCCACCGCAAAAGCCACCGACTTGTCCGCCCCACTACCAGCACCAGTCCAGATGCAATCGCTCCAAATCAGCTTCTCTGTGACATTGTGGAAACCCTTCCATGAATCCGGCCATTGCGCTACACACTCGTAAAGAGGTGTTGTGCTGCTGCTGAGACTGACCGAGATGGTTGCAAGGTCGCTGCCTGGCTTATCGACATCTGGGCCATCGTAACGGGCATCGAGTACCCGGTGGGTGTACCCTGTGGTGGTTGAGCATTGTCTGGCTGCTTGCACGCCTGCGACAGTGGACAGCACAACGGCAAGGTATCTCATCGTGAAAGACACAAAATGTTGTGACGTCTGAGTAAGGGTATAGGTCGATCAGGAAGGTCAACACGAACACTAAAACCACATGCAAAAGAGGGTGTGCCTGGCAATCGATTTAAATCATGTCTCTCTGTTCCCGTCTCTTATAGGCCGAACGCTATCCTGGTCGTGTCGGAGATGCAGATTAGCCACATGGCAACAATTCTAGAATGTGGCAAGGAAGTGTAGCTCATGTGCACCATATCATATCGAGAGCGTGGACTATCACTGTTATTTACCCTCCTATTCTGCCATATTAGCAACCTGCGGCTGGCTTATTACCAAGGCGGGATCAGCAAAGAGGGGAAACTTGCCCCCTTTTCCTTCCCCAAGACTTACCCCAACAAAACATACGCACCATAGTACAAGGCTTTTCATCTGCCGATCCTCCCAAGCAAGAGTCGTAGATTACCCTTGCATCGCAAATATCAAGGCTCGGGCTTATCCGGACATGCCTTTGTATCAGCAGACGGCATTGGGGCGGCTGTAGACGGAGGGCTTTGCCATGTGGTTTGTCCTTTACCCCAAACCGGGGAATGGGACTCTTGTGTATTTAGGACGAGGTTACCTTGTTGTCTGTTCTTGCATTTGATTTTCCGGGTTGAGCGTCTTTGGAGGCTGATATCTTTTGTTGTTCCTGCTGGTGAAACTCCCATCGTTCTTCCTACCACCATCCGCCTCAGGAGCACAGGAGAAACAGACCAAGATCATGAAGTCAACCCTCCTAGCAGCGGCACTCCTTCAAGGAGCCGCCCAAGCCCAACAAATGATACGTTTCGGCTGCTCCCAGCTCGTCGTCTCCCGCCTCGACCCCCTCGTCAACCCAGGCCTGGAACAGTCTCCCCACGTCCATCAAATCGTCGGTGGTAACTCCTTCAACGCCCACATGCCCTTCGAGCAAGGCTTCGACCTCGTCAAAAACTCCACCTGCACCTCGTGCACCTTCAGCGAGGACTTTAGCAACTACTGGACCGCCGTCCTCTACTTCAAGGCCCGCAACGGCACCTACAAGCGCGTGAGGCAGTTCCCCAACGTCGGCCTTCGAACAGACGGCGGCGTGACAGTCTACTACATCCCACCGTACGACGGTAAGACAACCGTCACCGCCTTCAAGCCCGGCTTCCGCATGCTCGTCGGCGACGCCGGCCTCCGCCAGAACAGGGGCATGCAAAAGCAGCTCTGCCACCGCTGCCTCGGCGCTGGGTACGACCGCGGCGGAGCCCCCTGCACAGGAAGCGACAGCACTACCCTCCCCAACAAGTTCTGCGACGGCGGCATCAGAACCACCATCACGTTCCCCACCTGCTGGGACGGAAAGAATCTCGACGCGCCTGACCACAAGAGCCACGTGGCGTACCCCCAGACTGGATCGTTCGAGAGCACCGGCCCCTGCCCGAGCTCGCACCCGGTTAGACTGCCGCAGTTGATGTATGAGGTCATGTGGGATACCCAGGCGTTCAACGACAAGAGCCTCTGGCCCGAGGATGGGTCGCAGCCGTTTGTGTGGAGCACTGGTGACGGGTAGGTGACCTCTCTTGTTAATTAGCCCCCTGATTTGTTGCGGGGCCAACCGTGACTGACCACTTGCCCCACAGGCTTGGGTACTCCCAACACGGCGATTACGTCTTTGGCTGGAAGGGAGACTCTCTGCAGCGCGCGCTCGATGCCCGTTGTTCCAATGCGGTTTGCAAGGAGCTCAAGACCCAATCGTCTGAGGAGGCGATGAGGTGCACTCAGCCACAGAATGTTCCAGAGAATGTTGATGGATGTAAGTTTGCCTCGCTGGGAGATGCTGGTGAAGATTATGCTTGCTGACAAGTAGAAAAGGGCTGCAAAAGATTCCTGGCGATGTCATGTAGATTGTGATCGGACATGTACCTAACGAAGCGGGAAGACCGAGGTATGGGGGATAGAGGTTAGATGACTGAAGTGAACAAATGCAGTCTACCTAGCGATTCGCTACTGAGATTCCGGATTGCTGTGATATCACTTCGTTCTCGGTGTCCCCTGAGTCTCGAAGCAACCGGGTTTATTCATCAAAACAATATGTACAATGACCTCGCTCATCTGCTCTATTACATCAGCTCCCTCCCTGTATAGCCCGCATCCAACTCAACCGGCGGCAGCGTGTTTTGCAATGCCCTGGGCCTTGGCCGGTGGTAGGTTGGCAGCTCCGCATAATCATGGCCCCCATAGACCTCGTGATAATGGGCAACAGGTACCTTTGTGTCCTGAAATTTGGTAGACAGCTCCTCAACCTGGGCATCAGAGGGCATCTCTCGCACATGTGACTCCGAGGCCAGCTCCTTGCGATCAACAGCTCCGTCCACTCCCAGCTCGCCCAGGTCATCTGTTTCAGTGAGCGCGTCGTGTCTACCAGCTCGTCGTCGACGCCAGAAAAGCCAACCACCAATGATGGCGGCCAGACAGATCACAGCCGCTAGTATTATTCCCACCATTGCTCCCGTACTCAAGCCGGCAGGTGCTGATATATCTGGCATCGTGGTTGTTGTTGGGCCCGACGGGGAATCTGTATTTGAACCTGACTGGGAGTCTGGCGAGTCTCCACTGGTGAATAAGGCCTCGGCAGATGTTGCAAAGAGCTGCTCGACGCCTTCGGAAGACCATTGAACATCAGAAGAAGTTCTGGTTCTGTGTTAGCAACTGGCCATCATGAATTATGTAGATGAAGAGATATTCTTTACCGCTTCTTATACCAGTCCTTGATGGCGTTTGCTGATTCATAGGCGGCGGCGTTGGAATCGTATTCCAGCTTCCATTCGGTCGCTGTCATATCGAACAGAAGGAGCCCCTGAGGGATCGCATCTCGAATTTGTATTTCATCCTCTCTGCCACGACCGCCGACGCTCAAGACCTTGTCGGTTGCCCACCGGGACGCATGTGTGGTAAGACATCCGGCGCGGCCTGCCTGGTGGTGTTGGGACGTTTTGTCCAGAGCAAAATCCGGGCAGGCTGAGAACGTAAGCGTCTTCGTACACCAATCCGTAGTCCGATTTCGTCCGATTGATCCACACGCAGTACTGTCTCGTGCAACAGATTCGAATCCAGCTTATTCAGGGATGAGCTATCTATGCAACGTTACATCTCGTGGCGCCCCTTGCGCATTGACTGCTGAATGGCTGCTGTGCAAAATCCGATTCTCGGTGAAGGAGGAATATCTCCAGTGGTAACTTGCGAGCGCAGGTTTACTTTCGTCACAGGGATCGAAGAAATGTGACATTTCTCATGTCGAAAAAGTCCATCTCCCCAAGTGGTACCTCCTTGTCAGTTCGTCCCACGTGTCCTCCCATGACTACGACAATCCCATTCTCCCCAACCCCAGAAATAAACTCGGCAGACGCTCCGACAACTGGCGTGTCCCCAAATGGACTGAACTTTTGAGTACCATTCATGAGCGCCTTGCTTTCAAAGTCGAAAGTTATCATTCCAGACAGCTGGCGAGTGTTATCCCTTCCCAACTGCGTCCAAGGAGTGGCTTGTCCGCCAATGACGATTCCCATTGTGCCGGTGCTGGTGACAGCCCCAGCTTCGCCCGGGCTGATTTGATCCAAGCGCAGCCCATTAGGAAGCGTTTCCACGCCCCATTCACCTCCTCCTCGGCTGTCAGCGGTGAACTTGTAGACTTCATCCGTCACCATCTCGAGCCCAAACGGCCAGTAGCCACCCCAAGCATAGAATACCCCATTCTTTGTATCGGTCCACAAGTACCATCTGTTTCTAGCCAGACTTTCAAAAGGTTTCGGGGTTGCTTTGATGGTGACTGATTCAGACTTCCACGATTCGTTCAGGGGAATTGAGAGGGTGGAGTTGACCTGGTTCTCCACTCGGCCGCGAATGGAGCTGAAGCCGTCCTCGTACTGAGTGATTTGGCCGCCTTCAATGTAAACGTGATTGTTTAGTACGGTAGCGCGGGCGAGGGCCCGTCTGACATAGTTCTTTGGTGAAGGAACGTCGAGAAGGGCAGCGTCCGTTGTCCCGGCGGTTAGGATTGTGGCCAACAATGATGTCAGGAGAGCGCTGGTCAGTCGGTGTGGCGCCATCGTGCTGGTCTTTTCCATTTAGATGTTTGCGTGAAAAAGACGAAAAGCATTCGACGCGATGAGAATTTGTTGGCCTGGCTTTTGATCATCAGCTCTGTGGGGGTGGTTGAGCCGCTGCCAATCTCGGTAGCGGAACAGTAGGCCAGTTACCGGCTCCATGATGAATGGGTAGTGCCTTGGCGGTTTTATTCAGGGGTATTTGAAGTTTAAAGAACTTCGCGGGTGGGAAGGATTTCCCCGTTCCCTGTCCCACGGGAGCCGCACGACAAGCAACGGGAAAATCCACGGGATGGGCACACCGACGTCGAGGGGCAGGATGGCGTCAGGAACTGTTGATCAAACACATGTCATGTCCTCGCTATGAAGATATGCAGGCACCGAAGGCACGTCGAAGAGGTCGACAAAAGTTGTTTGGGTTGCATGGCCGCTCGCTTGTTGCTAGGAAATTCGTGGCTGCCAGAGCAGCTCTCATTGGCGGGCGGCAACTCCAACCCACATCGTCAACTTGCCTGTCTATGAGTCGTCGTGATGAGTTGTGGCTTGGGACAGGAGGTGAATGTGCTGCGTGCCGCACTGGTTTTGTTCAGCCTCAGCGCTTAGCTTCTTGGTTCGGGACTACTTCGATCTCCAGTTTCTGTCTTGAACATAACGTATTTGATAAGCGAGCGGATCGGACAAGCGAGTGGATCGATTTCGTACGCGATATAGCTCTCTACCTGCAACATCGATTTCCTCTACCATACCAAGATGTCTTCGATTCTAGTTGAAGCAAAAGTTATTCTTGCACTCGAAGCCCTTAAAAATGACCCTAAACTAAGCCTCAAAGCTGCAGCGAGGCTCTATTCTATGCCTTATACTACCCTCCATCGCCGGCGCGCTAGTAAGCCTGCACGACGCGATATTCCAGCCAACTTACGCAATTTAACGGATCTGGAGGAGAAGACGATAGTTTAGTACGTTCTTGAGCTATCTGCACGCGCATTCCCACCTAGATTAAGTAGTGTGGAAGATATAGCTAACTAACTGCTGCGCGTACGCGACGCGCCTCCTATTAGTTAACGCTAGATATATAACTTCGTTAAACGCTAATTATAGCTTTATATGCGTTTTACGCGTAAATACAACTACTAAAGGGCTAAATACAAGGATCCGAAGGTTATTACCGAGTAGTTTACGTTTATACGGAATATTAA